TAAAAAATCATTTCAAATATACTAATTTTTTACCTCATATTTTACTCAAAAAATCAAAAAATTACTAATAGCCTATTCTCAAACAAGGTCTTTATACAACTACAACTACAACTATATATATATATATATTTTTTTTTTTTTTTCAAAGCGTAGTGTTATATAAAAGAAATTTGTACAAAAAAATTCATATATAGTAAGGTGATAGATTTGTGTGCGCGTTAATTTTAAAACAAATGGGTCATTATTTGTTTATAATTTTTTTTTAAAAAAAGCTCTATTTTTAAAATTTGTAGATTTTTTCAAATATCATTTTTTTTTTCAAATGTGTCACTATTTTTACACGTGTCATCTATCTATTCAATATCACCTATGTATTACAGCTCACTGTCACCAGCTGCTGTCGCCGGCCGCTAGGCATCTTTTTAAGGACTTATTGGCCCAATTTTTGATGACTTTTCTAACGATTTTTCAAGTGCTGACGACTTTTCAACACGTGTTATTCTCACCAAATAAGATTAAACAATGCCTGACCCCAACTTGATTTATTGATAATTTTTCCTTTTTTATATGAATTTCTAGTTACAAATCATTTTCCATTTTTGAACTTTTATTATGGAATATGTAAGATTACTTGACACGATTTGGTTTGTTTCATTTGTTTTAAGCAATATGTCCAAGTATATGCGAATACAACTTGATACGATTTGGTTGTTTTTGTTTCATTTGTTTTAAGCAATATGTCCAAGTATATGCGAATACAACTTGATACGATTTGGTTGTTTTTGTTTCATTTGTTTTAAGCAATATGTCCAAGTATATGCGAATACAACTTGATACGATTTGGTTGTTTTTGTTTCATTTGTTTTAAGCAATATGTCCAAGTATATGCCAATACAACTTGATTTAAAATTTTAGTGAAAAGGATATAAAATAAAATAACCACCAAAATTTGAGGCAACTTCCGAATAATGTAAATTTAGGTAGTGGAATATGTCATTGTCCCAATCACCACAACAATTTACATTTTGGCAATCAAATTTGGCGGCTAAACTTTTTTTTAATCGCCAAAAGTTGTAGAATAAGCGATTCGGCATTGAATATGGTTTTTAACTACTAATTTTTTTTAGTAGTGGTATCTTAATTATTGGCGACTAAAAAAAATTTAGTCACTAAATATGCCACAATAGGCAACTAAAAATTCTTTTAGTCGGCATTAGTTTTTGTTTTAGGCTACTAAAAATTGTTTTAGTCATCGTATATCAATTTTTGCCTACTAAAATAAATTTAGTCAACAAAAAGCTAGAATAATGTTTGCTATTAATCTTTGGTGACTAAAGGTTTGGTCGGCAAATATTAATTTTCGGCAACCAAAATATTTTTAGTTGCTGTATAATATTTTTTGCCTACAAAATTAATTTAGTCATTGAATAGAAAACATAAATTTTATTTTTTATTTTTGGTGACCAAAAAAGTGGTCGGCCAAGTTATACATTTTATCCACTAAAATAATTTGGTTCCTAAATGTATAATCTTTAGCTATCAAAAATAATTTAGTCGGTATTTGTTTTACTTTTAGCGACTAAATTTTAGTCGGCAATATTATTAAAAATTTTGGAGGGAGGAATTTGATTTTTGAAGAATTTGTAGACCAATTGGCGACTGAAATATTTTTCGTCGGGAAAAAAAAATGTCTTTATTTATAGCGATGGCTAGTGGGGAAAAAAATTAAACAACGGTGTAAGACGGAGGGCTGAGAGAGATCGCTTGAAGAACCAAGAGGTGTGGTGAATATCTCACCAAAACAACATCATTTTGGTGTAGTAATTCAAAATAAAAAATAAAAAAAATTCTCTTTTCGTTTCAGACGGGAGAGAGAGAGAAGACGAACGGTTGAGGAGCCTCGCCCGTCGCCGCCCCCCTCTCTACTCTGCTGTCTCCGCCGCTGCGGCGAGATAGAGAGAGAGAGAGAGAAGACGAAGGGTTGAGGAGCCTCACCCGTCCACCCCGTCCCTCTACTCTGCCGCGGCCTCGCCCCTCTCTTTTCCGTCGCCGACAAGTAGTTGTTGAATTCGGATTCAAGAAGCTGTTATTCATTCAGCAGATTCAACAGGTTCGTCATCCAAACTTAAATATTAGGGGTTTCAATTAAAAAATTAGGATTTCTTATGTTTGGTAATGGTAATATAAGCTTGTTGAATGTGTTGATTGAGAGATTCTTACATGATTCATTTCAAATATATTCTTAAGGTTTTGATTTGAGGCTTTTTACCTGATTTATTTGAAATCTATTTTTGGGTTAAAAAATTAGGGTTTTGATTTGGGATTTTTACATGATATTGAGATCTCTCTCACTTCTCCCTTTCTTCAACCAGGTTTCTTATTCAAACTAGGGTTTTGATTGAAGGATTTAATAATATAAAATATGTTATTTCAAGTTAACTCTTATTCATTGAATAAAACAATGGTCACACACTTGGCAACTGCTACCTCTCTCAATACTAACATAGAGTTTTGTTTCTCCATGGCTCTTATTTCTCGGTCTCCCTAACATTTTTAAAACAGAGATGAGCGTGATAGACAAAAAAAACATTATCAAAGTCTCCAACGACAATATCATGGCCGACATTGACGCTGCCTTCTGGTGTCTTAGATTCTCACATTTTGCCTAATTTTTTAGGGCTTTCGTTTGATTTTTCTGTTGAAGAGTTTTGAAAAATCATGGTTTTGTTCAGATGGTTTTGTACTATTGTTCAATAACATTTTACTATTAAAAATTGCATGTGCACCGAATGTTGAAACATTATAGTTATTAATTTGCCACCTTGTATCAATTTTATTTTCGCTTACACATACAAAAAGATTTGGTTTTCGATAGCGCCATTAGCAGCATGTTGGTGTCATCTTTTTTTAATTCTAATATTGTTGCTGAGGCCATTCAAGGAAATCTTGGTTTTGCTTCATTGTAGTCCTTTTCAATATGAAATACATCAAATTCGTGTGTTTACACGTTGAATGCAAGGCTTTACTTTTCAAACTTAGAACATTGGTCGAAAGGTATTAATGTTTGGAGTTTGACATCCTTAAACTGGACTCACAGGGCCTACATGCATATATACCTTGTTTGAATGAGTTGTAGATTTCTGATGTGATAAAGCTCAGTTTCATGGCATACTTCATGAACGCAACTTTCTCTGACTTTTTGCTTGGAGTTAACATTGTATCTAGGTTATTTGTGTGCTAGAAAGAACATGATTTACATCTTCCAATGATATATCTTGTTTGATAGAATTTATTTCTTTAATCACTACTGCTTTGAACACTTTAAATATCATTAGTAGCTCTTTAATGCATTAAATACTCATACATTGTCATATGGAAACAAAATCTGCATTAAGTTAGAAGATTAAATTTAAGATGTTCATCTCTGAAGTTGATGATTACTTGAAAAATTTTCAGCAAAAAATTATTCCTAGATCTCTAGCAATCTAGCAATGTAGCTGAGAACATTTGACACAAACAGTTTTATTCATTCTGCATTACACAGTTTCATTACATCGACACACACTAGTGTTCATTTAGTGGGGAGAAAGATCCCACATAGTCAAATGTTTAACCTACTGTTGCATTTGCTACCATTATGTTTTGGTGGCTTTAAATATTATCCTTTTTCTATCTGAGACTTGGAGAGATTGTTTTCTTTTTCATGCATCTTGCTATAGCTGATTTGTCATAAACAAGTTCTTAGATTCTCTAAAGAACATTTTTTTTTTGGGTAAGTTTGTCTAGAGAACATATCTGCTCTTTTCAAATTTTTATTCATAATGATGAAAACTGTAAACCACATACAAATTCTTATTCAACAGTGACAACTGCAATACATCCATTGTCAATTTCCACAGAACCTGCCCAAATCCTGATTGTTCATATGATCTGTGTCTCAATTGTTGTCGAGAACTCAAAAAAGGTTTTCAGCCTGGAGGTAACGAAGTAGAATCTTCAATTCACCAGTTGCTTGAACGATCTTATGGTCATGGTATGGACAGGAAGCCAAAGACTTGAACTTGAACTTAAAATCATGACTACAGTGTGTCTAATCTATTATTTTGTAACTTGAAAGATGCATTTGAAAATTAGCTAAGGAATTATATGATGAGTATTGAAATTAACAATGTTGGGTTTGCCATAGTTTGTACATTGATGAATCATGTAGTGTGTGTTCTGAAGAAAGTCTAGAAGTTGGACCCTACATTTATATGCATTCATCAATATATTATATCATGTTCCAAGAAATCTACGATTAAGTCCTGTGTAGGCAGTAACGGCGAAGCTCTACAATGGTTTACTGTCAAATGTTTGTGTGATATTTGCTTCATTTCAGAAAATGTTTGTGTGATATTTGCTTCATCCCAAAACCCACAAGCCAATACCAGACCTCAATTTACTTGGTAACCTCTCTCAGTTGCTATCTGCCTCACCAAACTTTGGCATCAATTCCGTGAAAACTCCAACATCCCACGTAACTTAAGCAGGATGGTGGCTGGATCCCAGTGGTAAAGCAGAGAGGAAGACATTCAAATCAAGTTGGGCTGAAGGAAGGTAGGCGAGTAGGGATGTACACTCTTTTTGTGGATAACCTACCAGAGTCAATGGATCCAAGGAGTATGTACTCTTTGTTCCTAAAATTTGGTGTAGTTAAGGATGTATTCATTCCACAAAAGAGGAGGAAAACAACAAACACAAGATTTGGCTTTGTTCGCTTTAACTGTCCTGTTGCAGCCAGTGTAGCAGAACAAAAGGGCAACGGAATATGGGTAGATGACAAAGCCTTGATAGTCCATGGTGCAGTACATGGAAAAGAAAAAGGAGACCAGATGAGGTGGAAACAAGTACAGAGGAGGCAACTGGAGTTAAGAAGACCAGCAGATAAAACTGGACCCACAGGGTGGAATCAAGGTATTGATGGTAGGTCGTATGTAGAGGTCATCAAAGGAGCCCAACCAAGAGGTCAACACACTGCTACAATCAAAGTTGAAGAAGTAGGAAACGGCTGGCTGTATGAGAGCATGATTTGAGGCTTAAACCAGATCACTCTGCTATGGAGGTACAAGAAAAACTCAAAGAACAAGGTATGAAGGATGTAAGAGTGAGAGCAGGAGGAGGGCGTGATGTAGTCCTATCGTTCAACTCTGTGGAGGCTCTGAAGAGTTCAACCAGCAAGCTTAATGTATGGTTCCAGGAATGGTGTGAGTACATCACAGAGTGGTCAGTAGGTATGCAACTCCAACAGGAGAGGTCTGTTTGGCTTAGCTGCTACGGTGTACCCCTGAATCTCTGGAGTTCCAATACCTTCACAAAGATTGGCCGTCTTTGGGGGGAAGTGTTACAATTAGATGGAGATATTTGTGAGCCCGCTTCTTTCTGTTGTGGGAAGATTAAAATAGTTACAGGTGCTATGGATCTGATCAATACATGTATCAATCTAGAATGCAAAGGTAGAGTATACCCCATAAGAGTTTGTGAGGAACAGATTATCAATGAGGTATCATCCTGTGGTCAAGGAATCAACAATGAAGATGGTGAAGAGGGTGTTAGCTCCAATACTAAAAAGGTGTTACAGTCAACTGCAGAGAGCAAGAGGGAGGGAGAAGAAGCTGACAAGGATGGGGAGGTGGAGGCTGACATGGTAAAAAAAAAAAATCATACGGTAAAAGGTGTTTTTACTTCTAAGCTGAAAGAGGGAAGTGAGGGGGAGGTAGGTGACAGTTGTATTCAAATATCAGTGGTGAAAGAGACTGAAGAGTGCATAGGGAAATCAACTGAAACAGGTTCAGGCGTGGGTGAAACAATGATGAAAGTGGAAGGTCTACAGCAGCAACAGCTACAACCGTGCAGTCATGCTTTGGAAAAAGGTGCTGAGATTCAAAAAGAGGATGGGCAGGTAGCCATAAAAGGCTTTATCAGAAGCTTAAGTGAAACCCAAAAGTTAAGGCCTGGAATTCATTTGGAGGTTGATTTGGGCCAAGAACATCTAAATCCCCAACCCATTGAGCTAGTCCATTGCACGTCCAGTAGTAATGAAGGTGGACTCAAAGGGGAGGGTGATAATTCAAACTCCAATGATACAAGGCTCGACTGGAATATGAAAGGGGATAGGAACACAAGATATTTTCATGTCATGGCTACTAGTAGAAAAAATAAAAATGCCCTCAACTCCATTGTTGTAGGGGAGGTGGCAATTGAGGAACCAATTCAGGTCAAAATTGAGGTATGGTCACATTTTACAAACCAGTTCTCAGAAGAGTGGAGACTTAGACCTATAATAGGTGGGGAGTTTAAAAGTGTAAGGCAAAGTGATTCATTTCATATCCTAGAGTCAGAATTTTCAGCAGTGGAGGTTTGGGAAGCCGTCAAGGACTGTAATGGCAACAAAGCTCCGGGGCCAGATGGTTTCAACTTGCTATTTTTCCAGAAGTTCTGGAAGGTGCTCAAAGAAGATGTGATGCTCTTTTTCACAGATTTTCATGACAGGGGCAGATTGGCTAAAGGCTTTAACAGCTCTTTCATCACCCTTATACCTAAGAAAATTGATGCAGCCAACTTAAGTGAGTTTAGACCCATTAGTCTTATAGGGTCAGTGTATAAAATACTTTCCAAGGTTCTTGCTAGTAGACTAAAAAAAGTCATG